GTCTTACCAAAACAATATGGAATTCTCTTTTATATTTTTTTTGTTTTGTCTGCAGAGTTTAGGGGTATTTTGGGAGGGTGTGTGTGTGTTTGTTTGCAGTTTGTTTTGTTTTGTTTTTAAATGATTGGGGTTTATAGTGTCTTGGCTTGGGGTAAACCTTAGTACAATTTTTTTTGCTTCTGTCCTCAGTTAACACACTCCGTAACATTGAGCACTGAGAACACTGACAGTGATTTCAATCAGCAAAGGATCACACCCTAACTGCTTCCAATTTCACGGGTACTAAGAAACACTATGTGATCACAGTCTCTGAGTAAGCAACATCCTGTATTCAAAGGTTTGAATCATATAACTCCACACAGACCTGGCAACTTTGGCACCTACCAATGAGCACCAGCTTTGCAAATCCAGGATAACAAACTCCTGAGGTACAGAAAGAAATACCTGATGTGCTGTTAATTGGTATCAGTTCTACTGAACCATAACATTTCCTTGTATCGTCATCATGGACCTAAAACTGAGAGTACTTGCTACTATACTGTAACATTTCTGTATTTTTCCCAGTATTAATCAGAATAAAGATAACTTTTCTTTGTATCAAAATTCATGCATTCCTATTAAAGTTATGTATTCAAGTAAAATTTAAGATGAAGAACAAAGCACACATAAAAATGGTAAGTTAAACAGGACAATGAGTTGGATTTTATATTTCCTATTGCACATTGATTATAACAGTGATCTTCCATGTTCACATTATACCAAGTAATTGCTCCAGTTTACCATCATCAGCTTTAGGGGAACATGTAACATAATACACACACAATTCTTACAACATTGCAGTTGTGCACATTTTTCCAACAATTATATAAAAACACTGTCATAGAGTATACGTTTTTCTTATAAAAGCAGCACTATCACTGTAAGAAAAGAGTAAATAACACTATATTCTCAATTTTCTTAGTATTATGAGACTTTCCTGAATGCAAACAGCTCTTAAAAAAATACTCGATACCTGGATTTGCTTTAATGAAAACAGTACTTACAGCCTTTATCAAATTTATTTGCTCATCCACACACCAAGATAACAGAAATCTTGCTTGCTGTTAAGACAGAAAATCTGAGCGGTT